CCGAGGTTGGAGACTTGACTGAGGGATTCTGGGAGTTGAAGTCCACAAGTCTTAAAGTTGCCAAGTTTGGGAACCACTGCCCTAAACCACAGGCTCCCCAACCAGGGGAGGCCCTGGAAGGCCTGTGGACTTCGACTCCCAGAATTCCACAAGTCTTCCAGCGGCCGAGGTTGGAGACTTGACTGAGGGATTCTGGGAGTTGAAGTCCACAAGTCTTAAAAGTTGCCAAGTTTGGGAACCCCTGCCCTAAACCACAGGCTCCCCAACCAGGGGAGGCCCTGGAAGGCCTGTGGACTTCGACTCCCAGAATTCCACAAGTCTTCCAGCGGCCGAGGTTGGAGACTTGACTGAGGGATTCTGGGAGTTGAAGTCCACAAGTAGTTAAAAATGGCCAAGGTGAGGTTTTAGGGTTAAGCTCCCCCTTGCCAGGATTCGGCTTGGCCATTCGCAGCCTCTGGACGCTGGGCCTCCTTAGGATGTCCAGGCAGACTGACCGGGGTGGGGGTGGGGGGCTGGGGGGAGGCGGTTGATGCTTTCTGCCTTTCTAGGCGGGGGAGCCAAGGAGGTTTCCGTGATCTCGTCACAATCGGGGGGCTTCGGGAGAACCTCTTGTGCTGCTTTCACGAGCCAGGAGACCCCTCCAGGGCAAAAGACCTCCCCCCCACTTAACTGGGCTGTAGAGACTTAACACCCCCCCCACCAATCCCCTCCTGGTTGCCCCCCCTCAGGATGCCACAGATCCTGGCCACCATCATCCTCAGCGCTTCGGTCTCCAACGTCAACCTCTCGGTCCAGCTGGGAGACACACCGCCGTTCGCCCTGGGCTTCAACTCCATCTCCGTGGGTGAGTGGCCAGAGCCACCCTCCGCTCCGTCCGGCTGGTTTTCTGCTCTCCCCCTGACCTCCCCAAGCTTCCCAAGGGCCACGCGGAGGACCCCTGCCCTTCCCATGGGAGTACAGCTCTCTTAGGGGTCCTGAGTCCCCTCCCTTCTCCCCCCCTCCCCAATCCCTTCTCAAGGGTCAGTCTGCCTCAGACCGGCCCGGATTCTGCAAAGGTCAAGAGGGCAGTGGTGAGATCTAATTTTTTTGCTACCCGTTCTGTGGGTGTGGCTTGGGGGGGGTCGTCACATGACTGGGGGATCAAAAGACAGAAAGTCACTTTAACAATGTCCTGCTGGAGAAGGGTTGGACTAGATGATCTCCAGGTACCTTCCAGCCCTAGATTATCCTCTGAAGCTGCTTTTAGTGCCAGGTTTATAGTCCTTCCTTCCTTTCCTGTTTCCCTCCCTCCCTCCCTTTCTCCTTCCTTCCTTCCTTCCTTCCTTCCTTCCTTCCTTCCTTCCTTCCTTCCTTCTTTCTCAGCACCCCCCACCCCCTGTTTTTGACCTAGCTGGCTTAAGGGAAGCCTTCTGGGAGCGAAATCGGACCCCGTCCCGACCCCCACGTTTCAAGGGAACCTGTAGTAAAAAAAATGTTTAAAAAGTTTTTTAAAAAGTTCCGAAAGCTCAGCTGTGTGATTGGCGGAACTTTAAAAACAAAACAAAACACTTTTTAAAGTAATTTTTACTCCTGGCCTGAACTGGTAGCATTTCTCCCCTGCTTCCTCCTCTCTACTCCTCCTTCCCCTGGATGCCTTCATCCTTCTGGTTGGAGCGCCAGGCTGCAGACTTCCTCCATGCTATTTTCCCCAAAAAATTCCTTTTGAGACCCGTGAAGGTCACCGAAGCATTCTGGGAAACAGATTTGCTGCCGTTTGCCCTTTCCCCGTTTTAATTAATTCGTTAATTAAATTTATACACTGCCCACCTCACCATCTTGAGTGACGTTGGATAATCTATAGCAGTGTTTCTCAACCTTGTCAACTTGAAGATGTCCGGACTTCAACTCCCAGAATTCCCCAGCCAGCGAATGCTGGCTGGGGAATTCTGGGAGT